TTTCTTTCTTTCTTTCTCTCTTTTTTGTATTTTAGGGAAGGGTCTACAGGGTATTCAGGATCTCACTACTAGATTGGCCTCATAGTGATCTGCCTGTTTTACAGCCTCCCAAGAGCTGGGATTACAGGCACACACCACTACACCTCAATTGCCATTTCCCATTTCCCAGTCTCAATTGCCATTTCCCATTTTCTCATTCTGAACTTTGATTTACATTTTTTGTTATTTGTTTTTCATTTACATTTTTTGCTACAGTGAGGTAGGGTCTCACTATGTAGTTGAGGCTGGTCTTGAACTCACTGTGTAGCCCAGGATGGCCTTGAACTGGAGGTAGTCCCTCCTGCTTCAGCCTCCCAAGTGCTGGGTGTGCCACCATGTGTAGCTTTTGTTATTCACATGAACATTCATCACTACAAAATTCAAATTACCTCCAACTACACATCTTTTGTTAACATTCATAACAAAGAAAGTCATTGCCTTATATAATTTTAAAGTACATAGGACCTCAAAGAAAAGCTTTTAGAAAAAAGGCACTTGATTTGTGGCATTTATAATTTATACAATGTACAGTATACAGGGGTCTCGCATAAAAATTAATGCTAAAATATATACTGTCTGTAATTTGTACCTGTAACCTTATAGGACATTTCTCTATAACGAGTCAGGTCTTCTCCATTAATTAAGACCAACTGTGGACATTTTTCTTTTGCATCTCTCACTTTCATACATTTCTTAACTCCAAGTTTTCTAGCTTCATAATTGCAAGTAATCACGAAAGATTTCTGTTGAACACCTACAAAAAAAAAAAAAAAAAAAAAAAAAAAAAAAAAAAAAAAAATTGCTTCATGTGAATATCACACAGGATTGAAGAAACACTTTCAAATACGATTTACTGATCCCATTTCCTCAGGGTGTAATTGGCAAGGCAGTGTTTTGGTCATCATAAAAAGATGTACACACGGCCAGTTGGTCAAAGCTCTCCAAAGGAACATCAGGTTTCTGAGCTATTGCCCAACTATGCATTCTAAGGCAGTAAAGTTATTTTCCCATATCCATCCTACCTTTCCTCCTCCTCTGGTACTAGAGATAGAACCCCGATGTGCTCTGCTACTGAGTCACAATCCCAGCCCTTTTTTGGGGGGTAGTCTTACTAAGCTGCCAGACTTGGACTCAACTTCCTCAGGGCTGGGATTACAAGCAAGCACCTCTGCACCCAACTTCCCATGTCCTACTTTTAATCTGTGGTTGTTTAGTCTACTTGGAGAAGGATGTTATTAAGTCAAACACCACTTAATAACAGTGGTAGGAATTACATATTAGAATGTAGGCCTATTATTCTTATACAATAGGCAAGCTGTGCACGTCTCAAATTTAACAAAGGTTACCACAAATCAGTATTTTATATGGATTTTCAGTGATAAGACAGAAATCAGATCATTCTAGGATTTCTTTTCAGAAAACACAAAATCCCATTAATTTATAGTCACATAATCAGTTGAAAATAAGTTAATTAAAAACTGGTTGCTGCTTAGGAAAAAACATTTACAGTATCTGCTGAGTAAATTGCCAATAAATAAAGGCAATGTTCTGCTGTAAGTGCCAACCTACAGTAGTTGTTAGGTATCTTCCCCCCAATAAATATCCTAATTACTAAACAATTTATTATAACCAGACAATTTGATAGTGAGGGCCATATTAAGAACTCCCCATTAGAAATGATCATGAACACCCAGACTGCACAAAAAAATTCTAATTTATTTTTATACTTAAGCTATCTAAAATTAATTTGGTTTTTTAAGATATACTGACAAGGGCCAGGGAGATGGCTCAGTAGAATAAGTGCTTCCCTGGCAAGCACAAGGGCCTGAGTTCAATCCCCAGTTCCGCCAAAAAAA